GGGGCTAGAGGAGGGGAGACACCCCCAGCTCCTCTCCCCACTGGGGAGGCAGGGCATCGCGCCCACAGGCCCTAGGGGGACATGGCCACCTGCTCATGCCCCCCTCCCTCCCGGTAGCGTGCTGCAGGGGCTGGCAGCCGGGCCGCGCTGCACAGCGTCGTGGAGGAGCTGGTCCGGTTCCGGCTGAAGGTCCGGCAGTTCGCCCTGGCCACGGGAGAAGCCTCTGGGGAGGCCCGGCGGCAGCAGCTCCTGCAGAGGCGGCCCCTGCTGGAGGCGTGCGACGCACTGCGCAGGGACCTCGCTGCCCATGGCGTCAGCATCAAGGTGAGCCACTGCCCAAGCCGGGCCGTCCGCCTGCATCAGTCACAACCCCGACGCCCTGCTTTGTGGAGCTGCCCTGGTGGGGCAGGGGCGGCAGCTGTTCCCTTTGGGGGCCAGGCCTCGGAAGCACCAGGTGGGCCGCCATCCTGTCACCCGGACCAGGCTCTCCCCACCAGGGCCGTCTTCCTCCCCAGGACAGGAGCAGCACGTCCACGTGGGAGCTACTGGACCCGAGGACAGGAGACCCCCAAACCAGGGAGCTGAGGACTCGTGAAGCCCAGTCTGCCTTGAGTCACGATAAAAGTTTTATATTAAAGTTTCCTGTTGTGGCTGTTTAATAAACGATCCATCCATTGAATCTCTTTGTGGCTCCGATGGCCACAGCAGTTTGGCAAAACCACCTCAGCCCCACCGTCGTCTGACGCAGCCTAGCTGGTCCCTGGGCCCGGGCCCTGGCACTGTGCAAGGACTGTGACCCAAAGACCAAGACGTTAAGTCCTACAGTGGGTCCTGAAGACGTCAGGGGATGCAGCCTGTACCTCCGGTGCCGGGCGGTGCTGGCCTGGGGGTGGGCACCAAGGGGAGGTGGTGCTCCTGAACGTGGTAGCCCCCCCGCCTCCCCCAGGGTTGCTGACAGTTTTACGTTTATTTTTCTGGTAACAAAGTGACTTGGTGTCAACCACAGAAAACACAGCAAAACATAGAAAGGAACTCGATTTCCGCTGACGCTCCTTTTCACCTCTGTTCTGTTTCATCTTTTTTAAGCAGCTGGTTCTTGGGGTAAATCCTTGGCTGCCTCTGAGCAGACGCCACAGGGGCCAGGGCTGTGCTCAGGAGAGGAGTCTGGGTGGCAGGGGAGAGAGCATGACCGTGGGGACAGGTGACCGAGGGCACCGCAGACTCCCTGACTGGTGGCTGGCAGCCTCGCTCAGTCTCCGCACTTGTCACAGGTGAAGGAGCTACACTGAACCAGCAGGAAACAGGGTGACCCTCAGCTCTCAGACCCAGGCCAGGCCACCCTCCTGCCCACCACTCTCAAGCTGCCTCATCGGCAGCCACAGCCCCGGGCAGCACGGAAGCACCCTCACGGCGCTGCTGTGGACAGCCCAGCCCGGCAGCCGCGTTTATTCGGTCACTGACCTGCGTGACCCTGAAACGCCGCGGTGGTCCCCGTCTACATGAGGCCTGTTCAAAGCTGACCTGTTACCAGTGACCCAGCTGGTGAGCAATGGAGCAAAGACCCCAGACGGCAGGCGGGCTCCTGACAACGAGTCATGCAAACAGGGTCCCTCTCAGAGCTGCTGTCCGATGGCCGGGCGCTCGGCCCGACCCCGGGGCGCACTTGCTCTCCTGGCCTCAGGGAAGCCCCCGGGTGGGGCGTGTCCAGGTCTCTAAAGGACAGGGAAGCGGTGACCTCGTTAGAAGTACGGCCCCGGGCTCCTCCCAGCTCTTCCAGCAGAGGGGTCCTGCCCTCAGGGCGAGAACACGGCACTTCCCGCGGCTGCCTCTCGGCTCACTGGTTGCTGGTTGGCAGCAGTGAATCCACAGCATCAGACATATGGGCTGACATATTTTTGTCTCCCTGGTATTTGAGAACGGCCTTGCTTAGGGCTAAGTTGAAAGGTGGATTCTGGGTGTTTGAAAAAAATACAAAACACTCTACTGAGATAAACCAGATCTGCTTTTAACACAAACCACGACTGAGGTGTAAATCCCCAAAGGAGAAGCCAGCCACTCAGGCTTTCTGGAGAAGTTCCCACAGAGACGGGGAAGCTGCTTCACAGTCAGACGTGAAACCACAGTGGCAAACATTTTTAAAGGAATCTCGCAAGTTCACAGCTGCTTAAAGAAAGATCTGCCTGGGGAGAGGTGTCTGACCACAGAGCATGAACTGAAGACAGGTTTACAGACGTGGACAGGCCCTGCCCTGGGGAAGGCATCACCAAGCAGATGAAAGGACATTCAGATGCACTGCTGGAACCAACGCCAGGGAGAAATGCGATAGAAAATGAGTCACTGACCTGCCCACACAGACGACCACCCGCAAGCTGACCCAATGCCGACAATTCACCATCGAGCCTCATTTACTGCAGTTTCAGAGAGAACGTCTTTAATGGAAGCTGAACATTCTCAAGGCCACGTCCACTCTTGAAGCAGAGGGGCCGCTGTCCTCTGTCAGCAGGCGTGAGGACAGTGCTCAGCCCCCACCCCCAGTGCCGTCTCCCACCAGACCAGCACCCAAAGCCCCGGACGCCCCTCCCACTCGTGGGGCTGTGCAGGGGCCGCCAGCTGCCAGCCGACTCTGTGCCGACGCGAGGAGAGGCAAGCATCCTCACCTGTGCCCGTCTCCTTCTGTGGCTTCCCCAGGTGCCTCCGGAAGGACTTCCAGGCTCTGAGAGATCACTGCGTTTTCTGAAACACTCCCGCCAGTTAACCAGGACCGCGAATGCTTAGTGCTTCCCCAGGTGTCTCCAGCCTAAGCACTGTTCAAATGAAGGCCACATCCTTTGGGGGCCTCAGTTTGAAAAAGAAACATTACTCTGCACGGAGACATTTGAAAACCACTGACGGGACCCCCCCTGCCATGAGGAATGTCTGAGGAGGGAACCGCCTGTGTAACCAGGAGCAGCAGGAGGCCGAGGGTGGAGAGGAGGGAATGGCGCGGGGGCGCAGCAAACCGGCCGCCGCCGCAGCCGGGCTGCTGAGAGCCGGCTCGTTCTCACATGCGCTTTTCCGTGATGTCACTGAGAAGCTAAGAGAAGCCCAGGAACACGTTTCATGACATCTCTAGGTACACTCTAGTTTAGCAGGAAAGCGTTGCATTCCCAGTTCTGACATTCTCTGCGTGGACCATGTCGCTGGGACTCACGAGGCTCCCGGGGGCCCGGACAGACTGGATGCGGAGCTCGGGTCTCCCCATCACAGCGCCCGCTCCTCCGGCCGCGCCCGCTCAGGTTTCAAAGAGCCTGCTGAATGCGGGCCCGACCTCGGCGATCATGTCCGTAGTGGTGGTGGAGCGGCCGTGCTTCTGGAAGGCTTGGTGGCTGCACTGCCTCGTCAGGGCGCACGCGCCGAAGGCAGCCACCAGGAGAGGGCTGAAACTGGAGGAGGGAGAGGTTAGCGGGGCCGTGGCTGCTCCAGGCTCTGACTGTCCCTCCTGGGTCACCCTGGGACCCCAAACGGGCAGTTCCAAGTCTGACGTGCCTCCGAGGCAGAAGGCGGCCGTTACCGGTAACCACTAACGCCGGACGCTGGTGTTCCCGACAGAGGCCTCCCAGGCACGCCTGTACACCAGGAGGGCGCCGAGGACACAGCTGGCTCCCCTGGTGAAGGAGAGCTCTCTGCTGTCGCAGGGCGTGAACAAGCCCAGAGATCTGGGGTGGAGCGTCCTGCCCCGATACTGGGCCCCCACGCTCTGTCTCCACATGCACCCACTTCACCAGGTGTCCTTCCGACCCAGGACACCCACCACTGTCACCATGGTGGGTGCAGAGAGGTGCCCAGACCCCCGGAGGGGTGGGGACTGCCCAAGATCACTCGATGCTGACAACAGAGCCCACACCTCATGGTTCTGCTGCCTCCTGGAGAAACCCCTCTCTCAGGATGAGCCCACCTCTGCCTGCGTGCTCTCCCTGGCAGCGCCTGGGCAGAGGGAGCACCGCAGACCTCCCGAAGCGCTCTCATGCCCCAGAGCGACAACTGCCCAGCCCCCTGGGCACTGACAGGCCGGGTGGGGCCCAGACCTCGCATGGAGGAAAAGCTCCCTGGGGGAGAGTCCTGGGACAACCCCTCCCTGGAACCCCCTCCACGTGACTCAGGCATTTCACCTGAAACACGACGCGTGAGCAGTGAAGACACAACTTACCCGTCTGTTCTCTCGGGGCCGGCCTGGAGGGCCCAGTGCACCAGGACACCCAGGGAGCCGGACAGGAGGTCCCCCTGCCCCCCGCACCTGCGGCCACTGCCCTCCTGGCTACACTCCAGCACTGCGGGGCGGGGGGAGGGCACGTGTTAGAGGAGGGGCCGCCCAACGTCACCTCACTCTTCCCCGCCGGTCCCAACACGGGGGCCACTCTGCTGGAGGGACACGGCTGGCAGAGCGTGTGCGTGCATGCCCGCATGTGCGTCTGCACGAGGACCTCTGGAGCTGGTGCCCACACCCACCGGCCAACACTTGGCACGAAGCCCTCAGCCACTCACCCTGCTCGCCATCAGAGATCACATCCCGCTCCCCTTTCTGGACCACGGTAACGTTCCCCAGGGCCTGGCTGAGTCTCAGCACGGCTCCACGGCGGTCCTGGCCGTCCAATGGGTCTCCCAGCTGTGACGGCACCCCAGACAGACGCAGTTGTCATTAGGCAGGGAAGAGCCCGCCACCCTGATCCCAACTCCTCCGGGGGCCACCGGGGCCCCACTACAGAGCCGTGCTCCATCCACCGGGGGAGGAGGCCTGGGAGGTCCCAGGGCTCAGTCCTCCAGGCGGAAGTGACGCCAGGGGCTTGGGCAGAAATACTGCGCCGGTGCCCACCCCTACCTGCCAGCGCGGAGTTCAGGACCACTGCCCATGGCTTGGATTTTAAGTTTGCCAAAGAGATGCAACTTTGATAATAAGCAAACATCTGTGGGCACTTCATGCCCTCTGGGTTTACACACACAGCTGACCCCTGAACCACGCGGATGCGAACTGAGGTGCCACTTGTAAGCGGACTGCATTCCGTGGTGAACACTGCAGCAAGGCACAACCGGAGGCTGGCTGAATCCGTGGCCGCAGCACTGAAGAACCGTGTTTATGGAGGGCCGACTGTGAACTACACTCAGATTTTCGACCGTGCAGGGTTGGCACCCCTAACCTTGCACTGTTTGAGGGTCAGCTGTATTATTTCGTCCTCACAAGCCCTACGACACAGACTCCATCATTATCCACATTTTACAGAGGAGGCAACGCCAGGCAGGGATGGACCGATCCACCCGAGTGCATGGTGGCAGGAGAGGCGGCTGACCCCAGGGCCCACCGCCCACCTCTCATCCTGATGGAGGACGCCACATCACACACCAGCAAGAAAGAAAAAGGCAGGCATGTGGGCAACTGCGTCCCTTGACTGCACATCTGCCCGACAGGTGCACCACCCTGGGTCCAGGGCCAGCGCCCGTCCCTGTGCAGTTGGCCGACTCACCACAGCCTCGGAGAGTCTGCTGAACTCCACGTGGTTGGGGGTGAGCACCGCCTTCTGGTAGCCCCGGATGAGGGCCGGCTGCTGGGCAATCAACCACAGCCCGTCCTGTGGAGAAGGACCCTGTTAGTGCAGGGCTGCGGGGCCGCAGTGAGGAGGGGCAAGGGGCGGTCACACTCACCGCGTCGATAACGACGGGGATGCCTCTGGCCTTGGATGCTTCCAAAATGTCCTGCACGGAAAGAAAGCCAGGCTGAGCACTGAGCCCTCACCTCTCAGGAAAGGGGAGAAAACCCAGCAGCCCATCAGCAAACAGAAAACACAGTAAATGTAAAAAACAAACAGAAAAGACCCACAAGAACCAACAGCGTCCCTCTGTGAGGCCGGGCACTGGGAACTCTGCAGCTGTGAGCCCTGCCCTGCCGGCTCGTCTGTGATGGGGACTTCGACCGTACCTGCTGTCCCGTGCACTGTGCCCCACTGGGCACCCCAAAAAGCGCCACAAAATGTGGTCTCAGTCACCCCTTCCTGGGAGGCACAAGGCCTGGGAGCCAAGCATCCCCAGCGGGAAGGGTCGCACTGGGAGAACATGAGCCTGACGCCCAGCCCGGCCGCCGCTCTCGGGGTTCAGCCGGACGCTGGGACTCGCGTCACGTCGAGAGCGGGAACGCGGGGCCCCAGAGCGACTTCCTCCGGCCACAGCACAAAGGAGCCAGTGCCCCGGGAGCGAAAGAGACCCCCCGCGTCGGGTCCAACTCTGCTTTTAAGTGCATTACTACCCTTATGCCCAGTTTCTCCTCTACCCCCAACCCAAATTCCATCCATCTCAGCTCTTCCGTGAGGCAGCACACAGAGTAAACAACAGAAAATGCAAGGAAAACGCTCTGTTCAGACTGTCTGAGATCGAAGAGCTGAGTCCACGGGACCAGGTGCAGTTAACAGCTCTACATGTTACCTTGACGTTGCTGAGAAGAACGTCGTCTCTGCCTAAGCCAGGGCCCACGACCAGGGCGTGCAGTCGGGGCAGCCACTTTTCCACGTCATGAACGGCATCAGGGCTGTCCCTAAAAAAGGAAAAGAAGCGCAAAACAGTTTACTTACAATTTTCACTTGTTTACTTTATTAATGGAACTACAGATTTTTCCAGATTTTCCTCCCAATGTCCTTTCCCTGTCCAAGGACCCAAGACACGACCCCATCAAAGATGTCTAGCTTTCAACATTTAGATGCCCTCGAGAGCATTCTGCTAAGCAAAGTCAGTCCAAGAGAGACAAATAGTGTATGATCCCTCTTATATGTGGTGTCTTTAAAACAAACAAACAAATGAAAAACCACAAAATCAAGCCCATAAGATACAAAGAAACTGGTGGTTGCCAGTAGGGCAGGGGGAGGGGAGGGAGGGGGGAGGGAGGGAGGGAGGGTGTGTGTGTGTGTGTGTGTGTGTGTGTGTGTGTGTGTTTTAAAGAGTTACGGGGACCTGACGTGCTACACTGTGGACAAATCTCAGATAACATGATGCTAAGGGAAACAAGGCAGACACACAAGACCTCATGTTGTGTGACTCGTCCACACTGTCACCCACGGCCATCTGTCTGCCTCCTGTCTTCAGACCTGGGCTCGATACAGTCTCCTCATTTCCCTGGACAGAACCCATCACTGGCGCCCTGCACCGCGGCCCTGCGGCAGACGCCCCGTCCCCTCCCCCCCACCGTGCCCCCACTCACAGGACTGGGTGGACAATCAGCTCTGGGCTATACGCCTTGATCACGGGCGCGGCCTCCTGGGTGCAGAACACGTGGGACAAGTCTGCGCCCTGAGAAGGAGCATAGGAGGCTGACTCACCGCGGGGCTCGCTCTGCAGACGCCCCAAGGGGTCCTGGCTGTGGTCCCCCGACCCAAATTGCGCAGACTGTAAAAAAGAAGCTCCTGCTGCCACGGTTAACCCACAGCTGGGGCAGCGCCTAAGGCAGGCCTCGGGAGGAGCGGGCATCTGCTGCCAGCCCAGCCCCGGCCGCGCCACTGAGGTCCTCAGGAGCAGCACGCCTCGGAGCATAGCCGCGTCCCGCGCCCTGTGCCCACGGGGCCCTCAGGACTCGATGAGGCAACTGCCAAGGTTAAGCGACGCCAACTGCTTGTGCCTGGACTGAAAAGGCAGCCGGGGCCACTGTGGTGAAGAACGACTCTAATAAAACTCCAGTTTAAAATGAACCCGACGAGGGGGGTACAGCTCAAGCGGGAGAGCACGACGCTCAGGAAGCCAGAGGGGCTGGGTTCGCCCCCCAGGACCCGCTCCGAGCAGGAATCAAGGAGCAGACCTAATGACCTGCCCCTCATTAAGTGAGCCCAGCCCGAGGCCCTGTGGCCGCACGAGAGGTCGGGGCGGGCTTGAAGGTGTGTCCCCTCCCGGTGATTACCCAAAGACGTTATTCAGATTTCTATCAGAGAGCAATTGCTTCAACCACATGTAAATAATCCAACTCTTTATGAGACACATCCTAAAAAAGAAGCTGTAAGTAAACATACCACTTTGAGAGCTGAGATCGCTGCGAAGTAGGGGGCCCCCGTGTACCTGTGAAGAAGGTATCAGTCAAGCACTTCCGGGCGTGGGGCGTGCTCACTGGGCGTGTCAATAAATGACAGACGTGAGGCACCCGCACAGGCCTGGCCCTCGGGGGTAGGGGGGGTCAGGAAAGGGGGGATGAACCCGGCTCCCAGCCAGAAAAGCCGTCTTTCACAGGAGGCCCCTGCACCGGGGAGCGGCCGTGTGCCTGCAGCCTCTCAGTCACGGGACGCGTCAGCTGAAGGCTGGAGGGGCGGCTTCGGGCTGGGGTGGCGGTCACATGGAGGGCAGACTTATCAAACTGCAGATTTATAGTAAGTGCAGTTTACTGTACACCAACTGGACCTCAACAGAGCTGTTAAAAAAGTCAGTCTCCTGGATAAAACAATGCAGCAAGATTTCTATCACCGAAAAAAAAATCATTTTTCTACACCGAGAATAATTGATTAGAAACATGACGGCACCTACAGCATCAGCAAAAACCATAAAGCAGCTAGGAATTAGCCTTATAAACACACGGTAACTCTGCGAGGAAAAGGTTAAAACCTATTAAAGAGTCCAACAGACATACACTTGATGACGTGACTGAACATAAAAAGGATACTTCTCTCTAGATTAACACAGACACAGAAAACACTTGACCTATGAGAAACGCACACAGTTGCAAGTAAGAGAAAACATGAGACCATGTGGACAAGACAGGTTCTGTTCGCAAGGATGGGTAGGGATGTATGTTAGGGGGAAAAATGAAGAAGTAAAAACTGGAGGTTTGAGAAGACAAGAAGTTTATCAAAGGCACCTGCAGAGAGACAGTGTGCTCAAGGTGTCCCCAGGCCAGAGCCCCTGGACTGGCGGGGCCCCCAGGGCGGGACCCAGCCCTCCGAGAGCTGCAGTGCGTGGAGACTGCGGTCACCTTGGATGCGGGGCCAGAAGAGATGCGACCCACATGCCTCCCTCACGTTCTACCCCACTGCTCGGAATGTCTGTGACTACAACGAGAAAATCCTTGACCCTGACCTCAGATAACTGATGGCAGGTAACCTTTCTGTCAATTCCCATGGGTGGAAAGTTCTGCAAACTCGAACTGGGGACGTGCTCAGTGCACGCTACACGTGACACCCCCCCGGAGCAGAGCCACCAACTTGCCAGAAACGCCAGAGACGGGACAGGTGACACCACCCCCGCAACGTGGACACAAGCCTCACTGGTAAGAAAGACACCTCCCTTATTCAAAGAGTGCAGTCACTGTCCTGCTGGTGAAGAAACCACCTGGCCACGTGCGACTTACGGCAAACAGGCCGAACTACGTGCTGAACCGCTGAAAACACAGGCCAGGCAGAGAGACAAGAAATGCGAACAGAAAGCAAGCAGAAGCCGAAACGGTGACCAAGGCAAAGGCAGCAGGTATCATTCACAAGGGCAAGCTGCAAATCGCTATGTGTCCAACGGCACAGCAGCGAGAGACACAAACCCAGAAGGGAAAACAGGCCCTGGAAACAAGGAAGGATCGGTCAGATTTCATAAATAACTTCCAGCGGTATCTTCAGATCAACAGAGCACACCAAGCAGACGCTGAGTGTTTCCATGCTCATCACAGAACTGTAACATGTGCTTCCAGTATTAAGCCTCGCCCGCACAGAAAGTGTAAAACAACAACAAAAATAGTCTCACCCCCAACTCCAGGCAAAGCCCTAACCTGGACACACACCAGCGACCAGCTCATCAGGGCCCCTGTTTTCTCTCCTGCTCCACCAAACCGCCCACCACTGAGGAACGCTGAGTGTCACACTATCAGACCACACTTGGAAATGATTCCGGGGGCCCAACCAGACAGACGGATGGACGGACGGATGGACAGCGCCGTCTCTGGCACTCACTCTCGGCAGCCCCCGACCACGCCGACCCTTCCGTCCTGCCCCTTGTGCTTCTTGGCGGTGAGAGGAGGGACGACGTTTCTCACCAGCTGTAACGCGTCTTCCATGCCCCTCACTGAGTGCGCGTTATGCAGCGAAAATGCTCTTTTCAAAACTGAAAAATAGGAAAGTGACATCATTCAGAAAGGTAAGTATTAGCACACACAAGAATCAGAGACAAACAAAACACTGCACTAACCACGATGCTCCCCAGAGCTGACTGAGCATGAGTGGCACCCAACAGTGCCATTATTTCATGTCTTAAGCAAATGACGTCCGGAAGTAACACCACAACTGAAACCTGCTGCAGGAAACGGAGGTACTCTGAAACCTATCAGACGACTGGGAAGTCTGCTTAAGCTTCCAGAAAGTCATTACTTAACGAATGACACACACTTCCCTCAACCTTCCTTCAAGTTTGTTAGGTCTCTGCTCCCATCTGTTACCTCCCACTGTCTATTCAAGTCAGATTCAGGTTATTCCCAATTCAGTTTTCCAGGCTTGGTTCCAATGCTCAATTAGACACTAATCAAATAACCAGGAGATGCATTCTAAATAAAGAACACATCTTACATTGGGTTCAAAGTAGCATCTTACAATAGTTTGATCATTTTGAATTGTCTATAAATTGCTAATTTTAATTGGCCTTTCTTGAAAAATTTCCTGCGTGGGTTGTACGCTTTGCTGGATTATTTAAAATAGCTCAGCTGGACAAGAAATGCTATGTTTGTACAGCCCCACGTATGAATAAGTAGATAAAACATTTTCTCTAGAATTAAAGGATCTTTGCTGATATGAACAATATTTAAAAAAAAAAAAGCACCCAATAGTTTCATCCTTCTCATCACCCGAGCAGCTGAGAAAAAACAGACGTGCGTCATTAACTATCATCCACCTAAGCACCTCTCTGCCATCTTCCGAATCAATACAGTAGATTAAAGCTCCAGAGTCCCTGTCCTGTAACCTTGACCGCTAAAAGACACAAGGATTGTGCAACGGTCAGTCCAACGCTCCAGCCCAACCAGACGCAGAGCGAGGCCACCGGGGTGCTGAGCTGACACACAACAGGCTCTCGCTCCCCGTCCCCACTTCACTCAACCTCCCGCAGGCCCGCCTGCACCCCAAATCCCTAGCCGCACAGCGTCCTCGCCAGGAACAGGCTGTGAGCCGCTCTTGCTCCCTGGGGAGCGGCAGGACAGGAGCTGGAGCTGTCAGAGTCAGAGTCAAGGATGCACAGCTGATGGGCCGTGTGCGCAGTCAGGAAGGCATGTGCTATGTGTGTTTCAGACTTGAACACACCTAGTATAACGTGACTGGTCAATACGAGAACATCAGAGAACGATCACTCCCTCAAGTGCCCTGGAGCAATAAATACAGTTGCTTTCAAAGTCTGGAAATTGTAAAGATAGAACCCAAATTTACCAGTCACTCAAGGAGTGTTCTGGGTTCCTTACAATTTTTGGGTTGGTTAGATGCCATCGCTTTAAACTAAGCACTGAGCCACACACAAAAGATCCCCAGGACCACCTCTCTACCCTCTGCCTCCACACAGCGCGGATGCGGTACAGCCCCCACCTGTGACTGAAAGGCCGGACTCCCAGCCCCAACAACCTTCAGCAGAGTCTGGCACAGAATAAATGATGAATTAGCGGCATCTTGGTTCACTCTCTTCCTTGGCAGCCAGTTTATCCTTCTTTTACAGACAAGGAACTAAGGCCCAGAGAGACAGACCTGTGAAGACGCCACGGTCAGAAATGGATAAGCCAGGGCAGAATTGCTACTGAATGCAAGTTCATGGGCCCGACGCACAGTGAGGCCAGACAATACTGAAAAGTCAGAGTCTGGGGCAGAGAAAGGTTTATGCAGGGCCAACCAAGGAGAACAGGTGGCTCTTACCCCAAAGTCCCAAACACCCCCACCACACCCAGGGTTTCAGCTGAGCACTTTCAAAGGCTAGGTAAGGGAGAGGTGTCCCAGGGTATGTGATCAGCTGTGCACAACTGGTTGATGCTGCAGTAACAGGGTGGGCAACACTGTCAATCTTTAGGCACCTGAAGGTCTAGGGGCCACGTGCTCAAGATCATCAAGTAGCTAATTTCTTCCATTTCATGGTGGGTTTAGCATCTTAAAAACTCAGGAAATAGGTGTGAGATACTAGTATCTGGGTCCTTCAGAGAGGAGCCACAACAGAGGACATGGGGGAGAAGTCTGTCCTGGGAAGGCCCCCAGGGTCCTGCTCGGTTCCAAGTCCCCCTTTCCTTCAATACACCTCAAGACTGAGGCAGACAGGCATTGGACAGGAAAAGGAATAATGTTTTGGACAGAGAGGTTCATCACAAGTTTGGCAGAAGAACTCGGGTTTAGGCGGACTTGGTTTCAATCTCCAACCCTGTTTCATCCTTCAGGGAATGGGGCATTTTACCAAAATGCTGCCATTTTTAGGCAAAAGAAATAATTTTTCTTTAACCAAATGTTCGCCCCACCAACCAAATTAGAAGTCAAATCCTTCTCAAATGCCTTCTGAAACCAATTTGGGATGGGGAAGAAACATCACGGTTGAGAAGTACAGTATTTTCACTTTTTAACTGGAATTGTGTGAGTGCAAAGTGCAAGCCACAATGCTCGCCAGCATTCTGTACCACTCACCTGCAATGAACACCTGTTAGTGAGAGAGCCAAAGGAAGGTCAATTAAATTTCCCTACACTCCACAGAGACTCATGTTTCAGCTGGCTTACCGACACACCATTCAGACTTAGCTACAGAAGTATTTAAACATAAATATCAAAGTTCTTAAGGATAAAAAGCCCTTAACAAGAGGTAACTTAAGATTTAGCCCATTAAGTAATTTGTCTTCATACAATTTTGAATCTGGAAGAACAGGTCAAACCCGTCTGGCTTTTTTTTGTTTTAAGGAAGCATGACTGAGCAGAGTTAAACAGATTTGTTTATTCTGGGCTGTTTTCTAGAATTACCTGCCACTCAGCTTTCTGTGATATCAACGTTTCTCTGTGTGAAATGTACTTTAAATTTATGTGAACCATAAATAATTTGGAACATATAACACCAATCCTTAAATTAACTTAGATGCCTTAAACCTGGAATAGGAAGTCAGTGATCCAGAATTCTACTTGTTTTTGGTAAAACTTCAGCAAGTCAGTCTAATAATGAAACCTCAAGCAATCTCAAGGACAAATCTTGCCAATTAATCACAGAGCGTATGAATTTAAGACAAACAGCTACCAATAAAATATCTCCAAACTGGTGCCCAGAAGCACCTCCGCTGGTGTTACTGTGTGAAGTGCAGAAGCTCAGGTACCCCTCAACTCTCCTCAAAACACTTGGAACTACGGTGCCAAAAACCAAAAAGCCAAAACTCCCTAACAGTTATTCTCTGCCGCGCCTACTAATGAGGACTACAGCAAAAGTGCGTTTTACCATTTTAGCCACTTTCTGGCTGGCGAAGCTTGGCTCAGAGCGACTCTTCCCTCCAAAGATGGATGGGTAACAGCAGCCTCCACTCTGCCGTGAGAGGTGACATAATACAGCACACAGCCACTCAGCGGTGTGAGCGACATTCGGTACCACCACCCACCGGGCAAGAGGCAGAAACCATACAAGAGGGTTTGGGCTCCAAGTCGAGGGCACCTGTTCCGTTTATTCCGTTTACGCCTAAATTCGTTCTCCACAGTCCGCCCTACTGGGCAGCCAAGGCCGGGACGGGGTGCTCGGGGTGGTCCCCAGCCAGGTGACCCCGCGCCAGCGGCTCCCCGCGACGCCGGCTGCGGCTCTACGGCGGCGCCTCCCGCCCGGACGAGTACCTGCGTCCAGCGGCGACCCGTACAGCGCGAGCGCGGCCGACAGCACAGCGACAACGGCGGCGCCGGCGACCGCAGCCCAGGCCCCCGTCCGGGTGGCCATGCCTGGGAAGGCCGGTACCAGGCTTACCTCGCCTGCAGCCCCAGACTGCCGCGCAGCCGGAACCCACCGCCATCGGCGGACTTCCGGGCTCCCGGCAGCCCCCGCGCAGCCGCAGGAAGCACCAGCCGACTTCCGGGCTCCCGGCAGCCCCCGAGAAGCCGCAGGAAGCACCAGCCGACTTCCGGGCTCCCGGCTACCCTCTTGTTCCGCTGCCGGAAGTGGGCTTCCCTCTCGCAGCAGTCCTTGATCCGGGCTCGCCCCGCCCCGGACTGCCCTCCACCAGTCACAGATGGCTCCAGATGATTGACAATCCTGCTGCCCAACCAGGCCTGGGCCCCACCTCT